CGGGTGTAGCAGATGTTCATGGGCGGCGGTATTCACTTAACATCAGGTGATCCGTCTGCTCGTTTGGCAACTTTTCACATAAAAAAAAGCATGTTTAACTCCACTACTGAACATAGGCCTCCCCCATAGACAGCCACGAAGTACTATCCCGAGCCACCTGCATCCATCGACTTTCCGCACATTTGCACAGGTCGTCACTCCATCTAGTGCGGGGTCATCCTACACTGCGATGGCCAGTACGAGGCTGCCACTCGAGAACCTTTCTTTCCCGGTTTCGGTTCTACGAGCTATATGGCCGGTCCATTGCCACTTCAGCTTGCTAATCCTCTGAGCTATGTCGGCTACCTGCTGTCCCCCTCTTTGCTGCATTAAAAAAATGGTTTCTTCTTAATTTTGTAACGAAATGTCCTCTGAACGGGAAATGAAGCCTCTACGATCCCGGGATCGTCTGCGCGTGCCCTCTTGTCCGGGGACCCTAAGTACCGTAGGCGACGCATTGTGTGCGGGCCCTCAGCCGCAACTAATACCCCTCGTTAAAACGCTCATCCGTCCGACGAACCACCCCCGACGTATAGTCAACCCTTCGTCGTCTGACTTTTGACCGCCCCTCTAGGTGGAAGCGCTTTCAAAATAATTAGTTAAAAAAATCCTTTTTTTTTTGCACAACTTGTTTACGGAAAAAACACATACCGGACGTTTGTGTGTCATATCTGTCGCCATACGCGAAAAAGTATAATAAAAACGTATTTTTTTTTTTTTACTTTAAATGTAGTTTGTAAAAAGCCGTAGGTACACAAACTAAGATGATGTAATTTTAGTTTGTGTAAGGCGTCCACGTAAACAAAAATGTTCATAAATATAAAAAAAACGTTCATAAAATTAAAAATTCCGGCCCGGACGACGTTAAATTTGAATGGGACCAAATGGCAAATATTTCGCATCAAACTAAAGTAGAATAAATAACGCGTAAATCGGATCATAAATCTCAGTGTAATCGGTGTACATGCAAAACACATGTACACCGATTACGTGTACATAAAAAAATACCGTCGAATTGAGAACCTCCTTCCTTTTGAAGCATTTTTCCAAATTTTTCCGACAACAAATTATTACTTCCCTTTTGTTTTCGCACAGTGAATGTTTTAGATTCAAAAACACGAAACATTTTTTTTTCTCCGTTCGTAATTTTAGGTAGATATCGCCTTGTTTGATTGTTCGGTCAATGCATAGAAATATTTGATAATTCTGTTTGAAGCCCATATTTTGCTGAATAATTTTTTTTATTCTGTTTTTTAGTATTTGTTGTTTGTTATAGCGGCAACACAAATACATCATCTGGGAGAATTTCAACTGTCTCACTATCACGGCTCATGAGATACAGCCTTGTGACAGACGGACAGTCAGACGGCGGAGTCTTAGTAATAGGGTCCCGTTGCACCCTTTGGGTACGGCAACCTAAAATGGGCACTAATTATTTAGGGAGCAAAGCGACTCGAGTGCCGCACTAAGATAACGTTCGCGTACATTTGTAATGCTCAAGGCTCGGGAGCGCTCTTCTAGCATCTTCTAGCCTGAAACGCCACTTGCGCTATGTGTGAGGAGTAGCGAGGGCCTCCTCGAAAAGTAAGTGGGTAGACCCTTACTGAGCTGGAGGTTTTATCCTTTAATTCTTCAGCATAAGGACCCGTTAAAGCGACGATTAGACTGCGACGACCGGGCCATTTTCAACCGACTTAAAAAAAGGAGGAGGTTTTCAAGTAGACTGTATTTTTTTTGTTGTGTTTGTTAACCCAGAACTTTCGAATGGGTGAACCGATTTTGATGATTCTTTTTTTTGTCTGAAAGCTTGCCATGTGGTAAAATTTCATTGGCATCGAGTCTTGGGCTCGGGAGATACTTAGGCTAATCCTGAAAATCAATTATAAAATGAATACAGAGCGAGATTTTTGACGACCCGAATGGCGTAGTGGGTAGTGTACCTGCCTCCTGCGCCAGAGGGTGTGGCTTCGATACCCACTACTGGAAAAATATTGTGTGATGAACATGGTGTTTTTCTAGTGTCTGGGTGTTTCTATATGTATAATGTGTATTTATTTACAAAAGAAAAGTATGTTTAAGTATGTCTATCAGTTTTCTAGTACGCATAGTAAAAGCGTTGCTTAGTTTGGGACTAGAGAACGTTGTGTTAAAAAATGTGCCCAAATATTTAAAAAAAAAAAAGAGATATTTCTGACCTCGGTTTTGTTTTTCGTTAGTAAAAAAATCGTCATTCTACTTTACTACCTCCACAAGAAACGAAAGTTCTAAAAATTCTATTCATTCCTTGCTCCACTATTCAGTGCGAATGGTATAAACATTATTTCGTTGGAAATCGATTCTGCATTAACAGATCTATTTATCGCAAAACGATGCCGAGTTGATTGACGTATGTTTGTGAAAAAAAAAAAATTGGATGTCGTCTAACTCTTTCTTGTCGACACCGATTCCCCTGTACCGGCAAGGTAACATATCGGAGTGCTATTGATCGAAATTAAAGACTGACAATTATAAATTAAACCATTTTTACTTATAATTTTATTTATTTGTAATTCCTATTCCCGACGATCTTTCGAACCCATTAAGACGCCGATAAATTTTGGTATTTTATCGTAGAACGACGCTTGCCACGACAAATCACATGGTAACAGTCCACTTTGTCAGCCCTCGCCTCCGGGTGTCTTGAGTTGAATTTTTACTTTCAATAGCGCTAATAACCTGTCCCCCCAACCCTCAGTAACTTTAATTTAATAAAGCCCCGGGCAACGCATTTGCGTAATCCAAGGGCGGCGATGATCACCCCCCCCCCCCCCTTCCCTCCCTCCCCCCCTTTCCATAGACAAAAAAGCAACGTTTTTTTTTTATTAAAACGACTCGCAGTGTTACCGTGGACACGAGAAGTCCGCCCATCCGTTGTCCGAACAAAACAAACATGTGACCTCACCCAATGACGTTATGGCGAGTCTCCCTGAATACTCATACGAGATATGCTAATTGGGAAGTCAGTTGTGCATTATCGCGCGCGCAATCGAGACAATTTGCAACGTTAACGAGGAGCGAGGAGTGTACTCCTTCGCAAGGATCGGATATTCAGTGACGAAACAGATATGATATTTGTTTTCTCTCGAAATATGTAAAAAATGTACGTGCATTGCAGCATATCGAAATAAAATGCGTCAATCTGCAACCGCTTTGTTCTATAACATTCTTATGAATTTTCCGTGAATTTGTATAAGAAGTCATTATCTGGTGTTGTTATCAAGAGAGTTAAAAGAAGGTGGCTCCCAATTCGGTTTTATGTTTGTTACCTAAGTACATGGTCGTTTATGAACCGATTTGAAAAAAAATCATTTAAACCTTTCCGTTTTAGAAAACCGCATTCAAAAACCGTTATGAGTTTGCTCCCCATCGCGGGCGTGAATCGTAGACGTGGTACCCCTCCTTCCCCCCACTCCTCGTGCCCCGTAGAGCCTCTACGGTCTGCGTTACGGCTAGAAAACGGTGCAGGAGATGGGGATGCCGATAGTGAAGAAATATATCGATATTTATTAGAGTATCAATATCAGCCCCCGATATATCGAAGAGATCTGTCGATATATTGATGCATCGATATTTTCTTTATTGGAACCTGTCGTCCAAGAAAAAAAACGTATGCAAAATATTAAATATTTGGATTTACGGACTTTGTCGCGGATTCGAATTTTAAAAAAATATTACTTTTTAGGTACGATTTCGTTATCGTATATTTTATATCGATATACCGAATCAAAATATATCGCCAAAAATATCGATAAACTTTATAAAAAATCTCGATGTGTCGATATTGTTTTCGGAATCCCTAGCAGGAGACACTCGATGCTCAGCCGGCGCGACATTTTAATGAGCGATTTCGGTCCGTTTTTTCATTCGCATCGCGAAACGGCGTGCGGTTTACGGCCACAAGTATACCTAGACGCGTAGGCGGGGCCGATAATTTCTTCCGTTCCGCGCCGCGCTTACGAAGCCCCGTTTGCTCAGTGTCCGTGGGGCGATCGCTTGCAATTCGAGCGTACCCAGTTCCGATCCCGGTGACGACCACCAGTGGAATTGTTTGTTACGATTTTTTGGTGATCATTTGGACTAGATAAACATTTTTATTCGGCGCCGGAAACAAATATTTCTGTGCCCACAGGTAATTTTTATCTGTCCACGTGAAATGAAATGGAAAAAAAAATGAAACGTCTGTCTAGCTACGAGCCTCGGGGCAATAACCCCGATCATGCCAAATCCTCTTTCGCAGCGTCGCCTTTAGGTTAGGATAGTTGTTGAAGATCGCCGGTCTTTGGATAAATAAAACTTTTATATCGTGCGACCACCATTCCTTTATTAGACTTAACCACAGACAAACTATATTCAAGTAATTTTTGTAATAAATAAATATTTGAAGATTTATGAGTCAAGTGAAGGTCGAAGTGAAGTCGAAGATTAGAGCTGACAAAAAGAAAGAAAATAAACTTTAAATTTTTTCAAACCAATCAATTTAGTAGTCATAGTTTATGCAAGATAAATAAAAGCTTTTAAAAAGCTTGTAAAAACAAAGCGGCCCGCTGAGTTTCTTTCGCCGGTTCTTCTCAGTTGTGTTCGCTTTTTTTTTTTCCGAACTGTTAGTAACTGTTTTAACGATCAATAAGTGATCGTAATGCTTCTATCTCAATTCTATAGAGTTAAAGGGACCTAATTAAGAAAAATCATTATTTTGACCTTATGTCAGGAAACGACCTTAAACGACTACCTTTTTCGACACTAATTAAAACATGGGCCGATTTTGGAAAGCTTCATAACGTACAATTCGGTCTCTTTCACTCCCCTCCAATCGTAAGTGCACAAATCTTTATTTTACGTTTCCCAAATATTGAGATCTTTTTAAATAGGTTACAACATTTCTAAGGGTGCTATTCGGATTTGAATCAGTTGCCGTATTCGGAATGGCCACGGCTATCGACCGCGACGCTACGGCGCCCCTGCTGGCTCCAGACGTAGACAGCCCCCGACTGCGGCGAGATGGTTCATCCCCATGCCGCGATGGGACGTGTGATGACGTCACTCGGGGTGGTCGGGCCTCGGATGGCAATAAAGAGATAATTTAAAATGAGAAACGCTTTCCCTGCAGCCGTAGCAGAGTAGCCTTTCCATTGCTACCTTAATTTATTGGTACGAGGAATTGGTTTCGTCGGGTTATCGTGAAGGGTGAAGTTTTTTTCGTTTTTTTAACTTAATTAAACCATACTGTACGATAGGTAGAGGTTTTAAAACTGATGCCCAGGTGAATTGGGACGTTTCATTAGTATCACCGGAACGAGTTTCATAGAATTTATTATAAGTTAAGTAACAGCCTATATAAGTCACACCAAGCAAGTTACCTAGTTCTCATCAACGATTTGACAAAACTGGTTTAATTGGAACGAAGATTAATAATAATAACCATTTGATCCCATTTAAACACATTTGACCCGACAAAGAACTCTGTAAAAATAGATATTCAACAAAACACATAATAAATAATATAAAAATAGGTAAAGATAAGGTGAGTTTTGCAAAGCTGAGTAGACGCGGTCAGCTGCTCAGCATATAGCCGATAACTGCAGTTGCAGTTTTTGCCAGTTTGCACTGGGTGACCAGTGCTGGTATTCTGCAGAAACCTGTATGTTTACGCCTCGGTTAATGTCAGACATGTGAGTGAGGTTTATGACAATAACAAAAGGCGTGAATAAATTGAATAATATGTGTTCATAAATACCAGTGCAGAGCGCAAAGTAAAACGCTGCGCCCTTGCCCCGTTTATACGGCGAATTACACACACGATCTATATTTAAACGCCGCCCATAAACATATGAGAGCTAATCAGCGAGTCCACGCGCGATTATGACAGCATTAACTCTCGGCACGTCCGCTTCTAACGGAGGTCGCGCGTGGAATGAGACGCTAGGGATGTTCGATATTTCGACGACGTTATTTAACAACGTGTTAACATGGAGGTTTTTGTATTGATAATTAGTTTAACAAAACTGTTTACTGATTAAAAAAATTCTAAATCCTTAATAGGAATATTGATTGTGGCATAAAAGTAATTTTTTTACATAATTACATTTTAATTGAATTATAAGGATTATTTTAAAAAACACTGCCTTTGCTATACGATAACATTTTCCCGCGTTTTAAGATCGTTTTAGATACATAAATTTCATGTGGACAAACACCCAGATCCAAAAAAAATCTGTTTGTCACACAAATGGGTAGTTGTATTGTGTGGGAATAACTATTGAATGTTCAAAAACCTTTTTCTTGTGGTGTTCCCGAACTAGTAAATTTACGATAATACAACTGACTCTGGCATTGTTATTTCTCTACGATTATATCCATAATAATAGTATAAAACAAAGTCGTCCCGCTGTCTGTCTGTCCCTATGTATGCTTAGATCTTTAAAACTACGCAACGGATCTTGATGCGGTTTTTTTTACTAGATAGAGTGATTCAAGAGGAAGGTTTTATATGTATAACACATTGCACCCGTGCGAATCGACGCAATATGTCTAATACGGCTCATCCCTAACGCGCCGCGTTCCAAATTCAAAACAGCGACTGGCGGGCGCCGCGTTCGCGAATCGACAACCCCTCCCCCCTCCCCGGTTCTTGCCCTCCCGCCTGACGCTTCCGCCGCCGCGTCCCCAATTGGGAGCGTCCTGCGGAACGCCGCGCTTCCGGCGCACCGCGGATCCCGCCGCGGAACCCCCCCCCCCCCCCCCCCCCGTACAGGTGTCAACGTTCGATAGCGCTGGCCGTTTTTTAGTTTTTACTACCTAGTAGCGGCTTTTTTTTCTTCTCCCTTTATGCGGCGGAAATTATATTAGTTGGGTCCACATTGAGCGTTTATGTTATTTGGTTCTTTTTTTTTCTGGGGATTTTAGTTTGGTGCTCACTGGCCATTTATATTGTTTGTTTTCTTTTTTGTGTATGACGACGGCAAAGTCTATTTCCTTTTTTTGTGAGGCGGTGATATAAGCCCGATAGAAACTGGCCGCTCATACTATTTGTTTTTTTTTGTGTTTTGTATGTTAAGTTCGGAACAAAGAGGGACGCTTTGTGTATTTGTTCATGTCGCGACTTTGAAGTTGTTTATTAAAATGGACGTGGTATTGTCCAAAAACTATTGTTCCAAATTTATTAACTCCTGCGTATGAGTATAATTTTGGCTGAAGGAATTGGAATAAAATTTAAAATTTGAATTTTTTGAGCTAGAAATATGTTCTTTATTTCAAAGAAATTGAGGTGTCATTCCCAATTATCAATCCCAACAAAGGTCAGTGACCGTCAAAGGCAGAGGCGTGTTACTAACATGTCGAGACAGTGGGTCAGTGTCGACCGAGTCACACGCTTGTCACGAGATTCTTGACGCGTGACGCGTGACGTGTGTCACGATGTGACGCGCCCAACTCGGTTAGTGTCTATTTATGTTCGTCGTCTTTTGCATTCGACTTGTCCACAACTACCTAGCCTAGCGGCTGGCTCGTGGGCCGGTCACTTCACGTTTCAGGTTCGAAACCTTGCGTTTTGTGATTTGAGGCTGTGGACCTGTTTTGTGTAAAAAAAATGGCAAACGAGTTGGCGGTTAACGTGATGTCAAGTGATAACTGTCGCACGTGGTCGGTAACAATTACAAACATCTGTAGGTTTACCAATGCGTTGCCACCTTTCAATAAAGTGTGCCCCGGCTACCTCACACACGAGGCGAAACGCAGAAGTATAACACTTCTGCTTCTTCTCTTCTACGCCTTCGGTCTGCTTTGAGGTCGTGGTACTTAACCGGACGGATCTGCCCATTCGTGCAACAGCGAAGACTGCTGCGTGGCCCTGACACAGGTGACCAACCACCCCAAGCCGTCTAGACAATATCGGGTGCTCCAAGCCTCGATTCGGTGTCTCCTTACTCCGGGGGCGCTTACGAATATCGGGGCTTCGCGAATGCGTTCAAAGTGTGGGATCGTTCTTGTGACGCCTATAGAAGGAATTTTAACGTTCGTCTCCGTTTATTTTACTACATAAAAATATAAATATTCAGATATATACCTACATATATCGAAATATATGTTTATGGCAACTCGGCGCAGTTGCAAAGGTTATTGGCTTCGGCGCCGGCGGTCGTGGGTTCGATTCCCACACGGGAAAACTCTTCAAATACCATTTTAATGCTGAGGTTAAAACTATTCGTAATTCAAGCGTTGTAATGGTGTTTGACTCGTTAAATTTGATGAAGAATTATGGAAGTTATAGCGTACCGACAAAAAACAACTTTGAGAAATATTTTTTTAATATTATCACAGTGGCTAGTAAAGTAAATACAAACAAATACTTGCGAAATTTTATTATAATTAAAGTATTTACGAAAATTACACAACTAAGTGAAAAAGCTAAAGAATCTATCCGATTGATACGACACTTTTTTTGCAGATTAATTAAATTACCATTCGACGGCTGACCGTGGTGCTCTGAGAAAATTTCAATTGTCGACTAGTACACTGTATTAAGTATAATAATATATATATAACTTAAGTATAATAATGTTATAAGTATTAATAATATATGTAAGTTAAAATAAGTAAAATAATAATGACCATCAAGGTATACAACAAACCTCAAATACTAAAAGACGAAAAAAATGATAAAACTTTCCTGAAAAAATTAAGACTTATTACTTAATAAATCATACAATGACATAAAAGAATATTATGGAGATACTTTGAATATAATAGATATAAATAAGACATAATGATCTCACGTCATAAATAGATATATTAAACAAATTACTTATAAGTAATACATTCTAATGAGGAACAAGAAATTAATAGAATTTTATTAATAAAATAGATAGTATAAAACTTAAACTTTAATTCTATCTTAAAATTAATAAATGTTACTTTAAAAATAAATAGCTACTCAAAATACCAACTACTTATACAAGTAGTTAATTAAAGTACCTATGTGATACATCTTGCTCTCTCCGAATTTGTTTTATTTTGTGCTGCGCCCTATAAACAGGGTCCATAGAGAACTGCTTACTAATTATTTTAACACCTCCTGTTACTTAATGGATATGTAATAAATAAATATAAATAAATAAATAAATGTACCCGAAGTTTTAGGAAAACGCCAATATTCCACACAGTCGCTTTCAACAGAGGTACTGTGTTTTATGCAAATCCACTCCAACCACATTAATATTTACATCGCATACACGAGGGAAAGTGCTAAACAAATTAAGATGGGTTATGTTAACCGCTACGTTACATTTACATGTACCGTTATCAAAAGCAAACTGATGTTGTCAATACACGCACTCTGCTGTGATAACTACCACAGTAACTACAGAGCAGGTGGTTCACCTGATGTTAAGTGATACCCATAGAGTTATATGATATTGCAACACCCATAGAGTTGCAAACCTTTGAATAAAGTGGGCACCGGCTGCCTCACTCACCAGACGAAACGCAGGAGTGTAATACTTCTGTGAGCTTATTACACTCCGTAAAAAACCGTACACACCCGTAGTGTAGCAAATGTCCATGGGCGGCGGTCACTAATTAAAATCAGGTGAACCGCCAGACGGCTCGCAATCTTCTTACATAAAAAAAGTTTAAACTGATGTCAGTAAACCGCAACACCCGAGTTCGACCCCCATTGCCGGCACCAATGAAATTGTTACTTTTAAGTGCTGACATATCACTCGCTCAGCGGCGAAGGAAAGCATCGTGAGGAAACCTGTATATTTTCGAATTAATAACAAATAAAAAAATATTTCGAAGTTATGTGAAGTCCGCCAATCCGCTATGGGGCCGCGTGGTTAACTATGCCCTGATACCCTCTGTACAGAGGAGGCCATTGCCCAGCAGTGGGATGCTTATAGGCTGTTAATTTACTTTAAATAAACCGCTAAATTACACTTAGATACGCCGTTATCAAAAGCAAACTGATGTTGTTAACACTTGTACTCTGCTGTGATAACGGCCTCAGTAACTAGACGCACTCGTCCGTACTTACTTAGTTGATTATTCGTCAGCGGTCCCAGGTCCCAAGCGGAAAACCGTTGTAACTTTAACGCGTTCGCCATATCGTTATCGTGCCTGTTTATACGCAATAACGTAACGTTATTTATGATAATAACGTAATACTATAACCTTTCAATCAATCAACTCGATATACGACACGGAGGGAAGTGAGACAATGAAGACAAATACGAGACAAATTGAAATGAACAAATGAAAATTATAATGAAAAAGTAACATGTTTTCTGTATTTTAATAATTGGGAATCGAATCCACGACTCCCGATACGGAAGCCAACACCCTGGCAAATGCGCCGCCACGGAGTCGTAAATGTATTGTACTAGCTACCCGCCCCAGCTTCGCACGGGTGCAATGCAGTATACATATAAACCTTCCTGTTTAATCACTCGTATCTATTAAAAAAAACCGCATCAAGATCCGTTGCGCAGCTTTAAAGATCTAAGCATACATAGGGACAGACAGACAGCGGGACGACTTTGTTTAATAACATATAGTGATATCCGAGTTGTCACGCAGTCATCGTGGTCCAGTCTTCGGGCGCTGGTTTTGAGAACGTGCCATGTGCGTGGGGGGGAAGAGGGGGGAGGGGGGCGGCACGCACACGGGTTCATCGACCCCGATGACTCAACCGCGGCCCGCTCCGCTCCGCGTGGGCGGTCGGGCTATGGGTACGGGAGTTGTCTCTGTTACATTATTTTGGACCCGACACTAAAGTAACGTGTACGGCTTCGGCCCGGGCGATGACGTCACACCCCCCCCCCCCCCCCCCCCCCCCGCGCTCGAAAAGCAAGGGGGGGGAGCACCACGTCATCGATCGGACGGGTTCGGTCCGCGAAACGGGGGGGGGGGGGGGGGGGGGAGCGGGGCTGGGTCGACCTTCCGGCGCCGTCCGTCGAGTGAGTTGCTTTGTTACTGTTTGATATATTCTTTGTTTCCGAAAGGCCTCTCATATTTTCTTTCTTTCTTTCTTTATCTATATCGGTATGTTCACCGTGCGAAAGCGTTCCCGTGCCCCTGCCGATATGCGCCTAGGTGGAAGGAACACTGTGGGCGCGAGTCCGCCATAGCGCTTCCTCGCCCCCGCGGGGGCGGGTATGCGTAGGCACTTGCCCCGCCTTTAACAAAAAGAGGTATGTTCAGCGTCATCATCATGCTTTTTTCCCAAATCGGTGGGGTCGACGCAACATATCAAATCAAATCATTTATTCATCGAAATAAGAAATATACATTTCATTTATCGATCGTAATTTTTTTTATATCTACCACCCTTTCGTAATGAGGTTCCTCTAACGGAGAAGAAACAGGCGAAAGAAACTCCGTAGGTATCCTCTTTTTGTCATTTTTTTTCCTCAAACAATTACATTGTTATACAATACATAATTTATCGCGATCAGAGCGATCATCTCATTCCCAGGGGTTAATTTTTTTTTATTTGAAACGTTGCCAAACGAGCAGACGGTTCACCTGATGTTAAGTGAATACCGACACACATGGACATCTGCTGGTACACCCGAGTGTTACAGATGCGTTGACAACCTTTTGAAAATTGGGCTCCGACTACCTCACTCACCATACGAAACGCGAAAGTATTTGTCATACTTCCACTTTACGCTGGTCTTCTGTGGGGTCGTGGTACTTACCCGGACGAGCCTGTCCATTCGTGCAACAACCGAGGCTGCTGCGTGGCCCTACCACCGTTAATAATATCGTTAATGTATTAACTTATATTATAATAACCCTTTTTAAAGCATTTCTTTGATAAATTTCTTAAACCCGTGTATAGATTGGCTTTGCACATTACCTGGGATTTTGTTGTATAAGCTTATACACCGTCCCATGAATGAGTTACTGACTCTTGGAGTGTTGAAACTGGCGTTACAAGGTTGTGTTTGTTCCAATGCGAATCCATGTGAATCCTTTTGTTAGTGGCGTTGGCTAGATATTTTACGACTGGCTAGACGTCAACCCTCGTAAACAATGGATAAGGACAAACTTACTACACCATTGTTTCGTCTGCAAAAAGTAAATAGGTTGTTCATGGGGCAAAGTGTGTATAATAAAATCCCACAGTCGATATTAAGTCTGCCGCTTGATGAATTTAAACGAAAAATTAAAAGTAAACTTATGGCTAAAGCCTTTTATACTATTGCCGAATATCTTGACGACGCCAATGTGTGGAGTTAATACTGTTGATACTCACGTAGGCTAGAGTAAGACTATTATACCTGTATATTATATTGTACCCTGACATTTTTGAAAAAGAGCAACTGTTGAGTTTCTTGCCGGTCTCTTCTCGACAGAAACCGCTTTCCGAACCGGTGGTACCTTACGCACCTATACACATAATCTTTGATGTAAAATTTGACGATTCATAAGAGCGCGCAAGCGTCTATTTGAATAAATATATTTTTGATTTTGATTTTGACAGTTGGCGTTGGGCGTCCTTTAAAGCCCGCGGGCGAGGTCTCATCTTCCTCCTGCCCTTATCTAGGTGGAGTTGGCTTAACGTGGCGATAACGGCATTGGCTATGTTTTTAGGGAACTTAACACTTAACCTGTCTCCTTCTCACATGAAAAATAATGACGATTTTACATGACGATTCCTAATGACGTGGCTTTTAACTCGTAACCCGCGCATAGACGTTTAACGTGAAGTATGCTCGTTGTCTGAGCCGTGATAGCTCAGTGTCCGGGTTAGTTCAATATACCCGAGCAACGTGAGTTCGATCCCCGGTGCCGGCACCAATGAAATTGTTAATTTCAAGTGCTGAATGAATCACGTGCTCAGCGGTGAAGGAAAACATTGTGAGGGAACCTGCTCATTTTCGAAATAATAATAAAAAAATCGTGCTACCAGCGATGACCTACGGTGCCGAGACATGGTCTCTCACTATGGGCTTCATAAGGAAGCTCGCGGTCGCACAGCGCGCTATGGAAACGGTAATGCTTGGGGTTTCTCTACGAGATCGAATCAGAAATGAGGAGATCCGTAGAAGAACTAGAGTTACCGACATAGCAGAGCGAGTCAGCAGGCTGAAGTGGCAGCGGGCAGGGCACATAGCTCGAAGAACCGATGGCCGTTGGGGCAAAAAGGTTCTCGAGTGGAGAACACGTGACGGCGAGCGCAGCGTGGGAGGGCCTCCCACAAGGTGGATGGACGACCTAGCTAAGATCGCAGGGACGCGTTGGATGCAGGCCGCTAACGACCGGTCGAAGTGGAAGTCAATGGGGGAGGCCTATGTTTAGCAGTGGACGTCCTACGGCTGATATGATAATGATGATGAATAAAAAAAATCCGAAGATATGTAAAGTCGCCAGCCCGCAGTGGCCCAGCAGTGGGACATGTACAGGCTGATACTTATCCTCGTTCTTGCACGATCCAATACGTTTTAGTTTCAGACTCCCCCATTCAGATCGGGGGTCGTGATACTGTGGGCAAGTTTACCTGCCCTTTCACACACTCAATAGCCGTGCGAGCGTCTCAGTTTCATTGTCACCCGTCTCTAAGCACTTCCGTACATAGGGATTTGCGCGTCACTATGAATATCCGAGTGTCTTCCCTTGAAAGGAAACTGGGAACGGGCGTCGAACGAAGTTTTCTACGGTATGAGGCCGCCGTTTGCTTTCGGGTGGGTCAATCGATCGATCGACGTTTTTATACAAACAAATTAAAGGTTGACAAACGCCTACATCAGGAATGGTCACCAGTGTTCGCCGTTGCACGAATGGACAGGACCGTCCGGCTAAGTACCACGAGGTGAAGTAAAAGAAAAACAGAAAGAAAGATACGTTTATTTAGTGAATATACGATTAGATAGTGGATATGTTAGCCTTCTGTAATTCGTCCGTTGAGTGAGATTGCCGGGGCACTTTTCCACATAAAAAAAAAAAAAAACATTCGTATACGGAGTACCGCGACAGGCTCTCCACTCCCCGCAGAAGCAATGAGCTCCGTTACTCTACCGCCTATCACTGTATACGGTTGCACGTACAAGTACTCGAGCTAAAACGTTAGCCTAGCCAGCCATCCAAGCTATTCGGATTTTGGTTATCTGTCGGTAATGTGAAACTTTATAAAGTTTCGTTGTTAAAATATATTCCAAAAATATATTCCCATTGTATATGAAGTCAAAATCAAAATCGTTTATTCATCGCCATAAGGAACGTACATTTCATCTATCGATAGTCATTTTTTTTAATCTACCACTGTTTTGTAATGAGGTTCCTCTAACGGAGATGAAACAGGCGTGGTGGTCTATGCCCTGATGGTCTACACAGAGGAGGCCTTTGCTAAGCAGTGGGACATTGATGTAGGCTGTTACTTTATAAGTATTTATTGCGTATTAAATATACGTCCACTGTTCTATGGAGGATTCCCTAATAGTTTTCGAGGGAGAATTTCAGGTAGGCCAGGCGGTAGACCGCCGGCCAGATAGCCCGTATGACGTCCAGGACAGTGAGAGAGATGGCATATATATACAGCGTGTCGTTACCATCGCGACAATAAATGAACACACGTCTAACGCTACTTGCCAATAATCAAAAAAAAATATTAACAAACAAAATCCATAATTTAAAAAAAATATTTTTCAAACAAACTTATTAAGTAAAAAAGAAACAAAATTTGTAACATATATATACAACTCGCGCCACAGCGTCGCATTACAAGCTTCTCCTTCTAACAGTATGTTTTGTCTCTTTTAAATTCATTCAACTCATTAATATGCTTTGTGACCTTTACAAATGAACTTTACGTTACGCTTTTATAGGTAAGGGTGTTCTAAAATTCTTTGTTTTAGAAAATTTAATAACTCTGTAAATGTTGATGTTTAAAGAATTTAAATATTTAATACAATTTTAAAATGTTATCATCTATATGTGTGTTCATTTATTGTCGCGATGGTAACGACACGCTGTATATATATATAAACTGGCCTACCTGAAATTCTTGTTTTGAAGTTGTTAGCTCTCGTACCATAAAATTGGTTATTTTAACATTATTAAGAGCCGTATGATGACTGTCTTTCGTCGTTGCTCTCCCTGTCGCAATCTAACGTAACTATCTGTCGACCCCGTTATAGTTGAAAAAATTAAGAGCTGACAACTAACTTTGTCTAAGGGCCGCTGTTCCTATCGGTGAGGCTGAAAGACATTAGATATCTGTTTTATCCCCGTTTTTTGAATTGAATTTTCCCACTGAAACAATGATTAGGTAGGTAGTCGCTGAATGTGTCACAGTGTCGTTAGGTCGAAGGAACACCGTAAAGTTATAGTTTCATTCGACAATGTGCAGTGTTCGTGTGACTCCGTGGCGCAGTTGCCAAGGTATTGGCGTCGGGGGTCGTCGGTTCGATTCCCGCACGGGACAACTATTTGTGCGACCCACAGATAGTTGTTTCGCATCTGGGCTGTTTGTATGTTCGTAAAACGTCCTTACAACACGGGATAATGTTATCCTAAAGTGAGGGAAATGTTTTTGAGAAAATAAATAAATAAAAACTAAATACATAAGAAATTTTGATAATAGTGTTATACATCTGCATTACCTCTGTTGAGTTACTAAAACGGGGCGCACTTTATATTAAAAGGTATATGGCAGATATCATTTAAAATCGGGTGAACCGCCAATTCTCTTGCCGAATTCTTACATTAAAAAAAAACTGAAGATTCTTCGGCCGACTGACTATTTTATTAAACATTGACATACGATCTTTTGTCCTTTAAACTTAGTGTAGTGTATTGAAATATTGAAGGTAGAATAAATCAGTTAGCATCCGACCGCTGTGTTTAATTGACGTACACTTCATTGGCGACGAGGCGGGTTATTTTCAATCGACTTCATTATTGTTACGTGTGGAAAGCAATAATAAGTACAAACATGCCTTTCGGTAAAATTGTACCTTTTGATTTGTTTTCGGGACAATGGACAATCTATGTGCGTCGAGTGGAACAATTTATTTTTTTAAACGAAATCAAGAACACGTATAAGGTCGCCACGTTGGTGACATTAGTTGGTGACCGCACTTATAATCTTGTGTGTGATTTATGTGCACCGGACAGACCGGAAGACAAAACTTTCGAACACTTAGTGCAAATAGTGAAAAATCATCTGGAACCCCAACGTTCAATATATGCGGAACGAGAAATATTCCGGCAGCGAAAACAAAAAAGCGGCAGAATCGATTGGCGATTTTTTACAACAACTAAAACATTTGGCTTCGTAATGTAATTTTGACCAAAATGTGCATACGGATGAGTACGTCAACGCAAGACCGCGAAAAATAAATAATGATCCTCAAGTTATCATTTCTGACACCGAAGATGAAGACTACACCACTAATCGGTCGGAGCCACTTGATATTGTCAACAGAACATCGTCTCCTACGGTCACCGAGGCTACGAAGGTACCGGAGATTTGTGAGAATTCACCAAGTCTACGAAGTTATACAACACGTATGCGTGAATCACACGGAGAGTTGAATGAAAGAGCTCAGAGAGCACTCCGACGAGAATTACGTAAAAAAGGGATGGAATAAATAAAAAAGGTAGCATTTAAATACAACTTTAATTTAGTCACATTTAAAAAAATATATATATATTTTTAGATAAACGTAATATTTATTATTATAAAAAAAAATAGCTCTACTCGTAATAAGTTAATTATTGTATAAGTTAATTATGTTATCAATTAAACTTACCTTGGTGGAGAGAAAAGTGATAGATTTAGGTTTAAATTTTGTTATTAGACATATATAAGATAATTGTTCGGGTTTTTAGTGAATAAGTTTTTGGGTTTTTTTTTATTTTATGGGAAGGAGATGTGTAGTGTATTGAAATATTGAAGGTAGAATAAATCAGTTAGCATCCGACCGCTGTGTTTAATTGACGTACACTTCACTTAGTTAAGCCGTCTCATAAAACAACTAAAAAAACAACACCGTCTCAACCAGAAATGGTTTGAATACGCGATAATGTGAAGCGATAACACGTAGAGAGAATCGACGTTTGTGTGATTTAAGACTAAGTACCTGGAGGAACGAGCTTTGCTCGGTTTGTTTTATTTTTGGTAAATCGTGTATTTCGCTCTTATGCTTTTTCTTTCGCCTTCATTCATGCGTATATGCGTAATATTTTTCGATCTTACCCACGTAATAATAAGAAAATATGAACTGGTGTTTTTCACAAAAGAAAGAACTTTAAAAAAAAAAGGGAAAAAGAACAAAATCGTCTAAATGGACAAAAAATAAAGAAAGCAATGATCTGGAATCGAAAAAAATAAGTATGTAAATAAATGATCGTGACACGAACCACGGCCTTCTGTTTCGGAGCCGCCCGATTACCGACCGAGCTATTATAACATTTTTTTTCGGCGAAATTTACCGTCATATTCGAATGATATTTTTAATTCCCTGAAAACAGGGATAAAAGATCGATTTTTTTTTTGAATCTCTGGAGCCGTTTCCGAGATTCCGATTATATTGCTCGTTTAAAGGATAAGATATGAACGCGAAGACGATCCTTCCTACCCCGAACGCTTTGAGAAAAGATAACGAGCTATATTTGGAGCAGTTATTGGTTTGGGACCGATAAGCGATTCTTATGTTCAAGTGCATAGTTACACCCGCTGTGATACGTCAGCGTGTGTTTCAGCTTTAAAGCCTCGGATGTTGCACGAATGGGTAGACTCGTCCGGGTAAGTACCACGACCTCACAGAAGACCGGCGTGAATTGGAAGTAGGTATAATACTTTCGCGTCTCGTCTGGTGAGTGAGGTGGCCGGAGCCCAATTTTCAAAAGGTTGTCAACGCATCTGCAGACCCTCGGGTGTAGCAGATGTCCATTGGCGGCAGTATTCACTTAACATTAGGTACGTCTGGCTTGCTTGGCAACTTTTCAAAAAAAAAAAAAGTAATGCTATCACGCGGCGTGTATTGTGCGATGTCTCGGTGGCGCCGTTGCCAAGCTATATTGGCTTCGACGTCGTGGGTCGTGGGTTCGATTCCCACGCGGGACAAGTGCTTGTGTGACCCACATATAGTTGTTCCGGATCTGGGTGTCTGTTTCCCGAGGAGGGTTGACGTCAGACAGGCGGCCGGTCGTAAAAACTATAACCAAGACCGGTTACAACACGACTCAAATGCTGTGCCGACCCCACCTAGGTGGGATAACGGCAGGAGGATGATGTCGGGGTGTTTATTACGTATCTATGATATTTATTTATTTACAAAAGAAAAGGTTTAATATGTTTATTAGTTACCTAGTATTCATAGTACAAGCTTTGCTTAGTTTGGGACTAGACAGAGCTGTGTAAAAATATGTCTAAAATTAATTAATTTATTTATGATATACTACCTCCTCTGCCTCAATAAGAACCACTTTTCTTCATAACTACGAACGAATGGGCTAGATTAGTAACTTCCTAAAAGGAAATCTATACTTATGTTAAAAATAATTTTATTCTAATAAGTAATAATGTCGAGCGTTTGTACGCAGGGCACAGTTTCGGGACAACAATAGGCCTAAAAACTTAAAAAAAGTAAAGACGGATATTATCACTGTTGTTTGCTACAAACTATTTAAATAAACTTCCGTATCGTACTTAAATGAAGTCGGCGATATTCAGACCGCTGTCGCTCGTCGCTCACGCCGCGCCCGGCGCCACGGTGACCGAGACGGCGGCGGATCGATGCGGGCCGCTCGCGTCGACCCTCTCCCTCACTCCGCCCGTTGTGCGAGCGAGACGGCTGCGGGGCCACGCAGTGCGCGTGCACGCGATTTCTTTTTGAAAGTTAAAAATCGATGAAGCGTTTGATCTTTGACCCGACAACGGTCGCTTCGTGGCCCCCGGACGGTTGACGTTAATAATGTGGTTTATATTAGACCTTGGAATATAAGACTAGCGAACCGCCCCGGCTTCGAACGGGTGTAATTCTTCCTTACTAATATTATAATGCGCAAGTTTGTATGTATGGATGGATGTTTGTTTCTCTTTCACGCAAATACTACTGAATGGATTTTAATGAAACTTTACAATAATATAGCTTATACATCAGAATAAGACAGGCTATAATTTATATACATATTTTATGTATATCTGTCTTCCTGTCTCAATGTTACGCCTTCAGCCTATTCTACGCAGACGTAGTCGCGGGCAGCAGCTAGTGTATTATACATATAAACCTTCCTCTTGAGTCACTCTAGTAAAAGTAAACCGCATCAAGATCCGTTGCGTAGTTTTAAAGATCTAAGCATGCATAGGGACAGACACACAGCGGGACGACTTTGTTTCATACTATGTAGTGACGACAAGCGAGCTGGCGGTTCACCTGATGCTAAGTGATAATCGTCGCCCATCGACATTTGCGACACGCCTAGGGTTGCAGATGCGTTCCATGTAGTAGAGGAGGCCTAAAAAGGCCGTAGACGCACAGGGGTCGCGGAAGATTGCGTCCACGTGTTCCCGTGTCCCCGGCCGTTGCGACAGAGACAGTGCAACGTGGGTTTTTTAGTGGGTACCCGTGTCTCACCGGGACTACCACTTACCCCTGTCACCCCGCCGATCCAGTGGCAGGGGGATTCATAAAGGATTTTTCCCACGAAAAAAAAGGTGGTAAATACGTTGACAATCTATAACAACCAATAAGAGCCGTGATAGCTCAGTGTCCGGGCGCTCGCCTTTAGTTCAATATACTCGAGCAACCTGAGTTCGATCCCCGGTGCCGGCACCAATGAAGTTTTTAACTTTAAGTGCTGACTTATCACGTGCTCCGCGGGGAAGGAAAACATCGTGAGGAGACCTATTTTCGAAATAATAACAAAAAAAAATATATTTCGAAGATATGTGAAGTCCGCCAATACCAGGGACTTAAAACGTTATGCATAACGAAATTTATAACGATATCATAACGGTATAATGGTATCGGTACCTCAGTAAATATTTCGTTTTCAATTTTTTTGTATAACGTTATACGAGTAACAGAACGAAATTATTACAGAGAAATTAACGTTATTATAACGATAAATACGCAACGTTGCCAAACTTATTTATTTCTAAAGCGCGCGTCTTATGAGCGGGGATCCAACTGTTAGCTCGGATGGGGGTTCCCCGCACAGCACGGCAACGTTTTAAAATGATGCCTAAACTAAACATTTGTAAACCCTTGCGACGAATTTTATTTAACAAGCCTTCATTTAGTTTCACCTGTAGCGATGTTTGTCATCAATTCTTGCAAATTAAATTTGATCCACTTCCCGGTTAGGTAGCGATTGAGCTGAAATTTTGCATACATGTGTAAATCGCGTGACAATACAATATTATGATGACATGGTACTGATCTGATGATGGAGCTGGAAGGTGGCCAAAGGAACTTCGCAATGACAGAACGACACAACCTCATCGAGTTTGGGCTCATTTGAATCGTCTTGAGGGGTAGTTTGTCTTTTAATGGTAACCAGGGTCTGATGAAGTAGCTGGAAGGTGGCCATCGGAATTCTGTAATGGAACGACGCAACGCCATCGAGTCTCGGCTCGTTGGCTTCGTCTTGACGAGTACTTTGGTACTTGATGGTAACCAGGGTTTGATGATGGAGCTGGAAGGTGCCCATAGGGACTCAGTCATTAAGCGACACAACCACGTCGAGTTTAATTAGTTTTAATGGGTGGACCGTTTTTAATGGGTGGTGAGTGGTGGTGGTTTGGTGGACGTGTAATGTAATATAATATTTACGCATTAAATGAAATGGATAGAATGTGAATGTTACAAACAACTAACTAATGATTCCATAACTAATTGATATGTAAAGTTATTAAAATATAAAATAATACTAAAAAGTTAAAAATAATATTAAAAGAAAAACCGAAGAAACGAAAAAGAAAAATTAAAGAAGTTTTTATCGCATACCCAATTTTTATAAATAAAAGCTCTCCTTTTTAAGATGTTTTTTTTTATAAATTTTTTTATTTCAGTTTTTTCGTTCTTTCCACTTATCGATACATTGATTAAAATTGAATAAAATTTATTGAAGTAAATTAGTATAAAATTCGGATTGGCGCGTGTTGCACTTAGTACAACGCAAGTTAGTCGAAACTTTTTTCAGTATTAAAGAATTTTATATATAATATTAAAGATTTCATTTAGTATAAAAGGTCGATGATATTAATTGTACCTTGTATTTATTGTATATTAAAATGTGCTACATGCGACTTTAAAAGCCACAAAAAATCGAATCAGAATTATTAACTTTATAATGCATAAAATCATATTAAAAGAAAGCATTTAACATAACATTTGGAAATTGCCAATTAACTACTTTGTACCTGCACACCATTTTATCATTAGCACTTAAATTATGTTTTTATGTACTATCTCAAAAAAGTCGCTAGATGAAAACGAGAGTGAACGCGAGCGATGGTACTAAGTAGATAGCGAAGAAAGATGCCCGCAAAAGAAATAATACTACCTTTACCTCTTATATTCCTAGTAACTTAAGCAAAATTTTCTGTTAGTTGAATTGCTGTACCGACGACCACAATATAAGCGCGACTGAACATAAGATAAAAGAGACAGAACATACTCAAAAAAGAGTAAACCGTTTTGAGTAAAAGAGATGGCATAGAACAATAAATAATAACGTTATTATGTCTATAACAATATTTTAGAAACGTTTAATTTACGAATGTAGCGTAACGCAATTATAACGTTATGCGCCTGCAAAGCTTTCCACAATATCGTTTTTAATAACGTTTCTCTTAAAAATAACGTTATCTCACACTGGCCCAGATAACGTTACTGTATTTTACCGGTATTTTGATCCCTGGCCAATACGCAATGGGGCCGCGTGGTGGACTATGCCCTGATAACCTCTCTATAGAGGAGGCCTTTGCCCAGCTGTGGGACATGTATAGGCTGTTACTTTCCTTTGCTTTACATAAAAAAATGTCTTTTGAATAAGAATAAAATGTCTTTTCTCTTTGTCGGTGACCCCTACGAATTCATACACTAGAAATGTACCTATCACTTGGACGTTTAAATACTAGGTGATCTAAGCTAGATTGGATTTGGTAATGCCTAAAGGTTTGTCGCCTTATACGCGGTTTGCGTGCCACGGCCGCCCGGCCGCCGCTAACAAAATGGCGGGTTTTCTATTTCTTGATTATGTTTATCGATTGCTAGTTTTCATTTGCCTGACCCGTACGTATGTATCTAGGTAATGTATAAAACCGCTAGTTTATGACAGTCTTAATAAAGCACCTTGGCCATTTCTTTCTTCATAGATATTTTCCACTGCTCGTCAAAGGTTTCCTCTATACAGATGTTATAAGGACATAGTAAGGCATTTATTATTAACGTAGTAATAAATTTTAATAATTTTATTTCATTTATTATTACGAAAATATGCGTGTTTCCTCACGATGTTTTCCTTCACCACGTGAGCACGTGACAGTCAGCACTTAAAACTAACAATTTCATTTGTGCCGGCACAAACGGGGATTAAACTCAGGTTGCTTGTATTAAAAGCGAGTGCCCGGACAATGAGCTATCACGGCTCTCGGAAATAAACGAAAATAAGTTTTATACAACCCGTAAGTTAGACTCATTTAACGCTGTGTTTTTACTGCGATAGGGCCACGCAACAGCTTCGGCTGTTGCACGAATGGGCAGGCTCGTCCGGGTGAGTACCACGACCTGACAGAACATCGGCGTAATGCGGATGTGCAACACTTCTGCGTTTCGTCTGGTGATTGAGGTAGCCGGGGCCCACTTTATTAAAAGGTGGCAACGCATCTGCACCCCCAAGGGTGTTGCAAATGTCAATGGGCGCCGGTTATCACTTAACATCAGGTGAAGCGCCCAACAAAAAAAAAACGCCAGACGAAACGCAGAAGTCTTGTATTAACTGATGTTTGTGCTTTCAGTCCCGAGACTATTAAAGCTTCATCTGACGCAGAACCGGTGGGCTAGCCAGAACACAAGGGTTTGGGCCCTCCGCTGTGGGTAGGGCCGCGCATGTGCTCATGCGTGCGTTTAACTACGGCATGTCATCTAAGGGCCATCGAGGTTGCGGTGCGGACCGAGACCCCGATGGCCGTCGACTGTGTTTTTAGCCAATCGGTGGCTGGGGGCGGTGAGAACCGCCCTGAAACGCAGAAGTGTAACAGGTCCACTTCACGCCGGCCTCCTGTGAGCTCGTGGTCCTTCCCCGGACGGACCTGCCCATTCGTGCAACAGCCGAGGCTTGCTGCGCGGCCCCACCACGGTCAAAGATGACGTATAATAACTACAGCAAACTGTCGTTTCAACTGTCGCGCCGATATCGAACTAGTTCGCCGCCCGCGTGTAATCGCCGTCGCGTCCTCTCGACCTGGTCGGGGCTAAAAAAAGACAAAAGAAAGAAGATAGAAAAGGACAGAGCACGAATTCCCACGCACGTTCCGATCCGAGAATAGGAAAGTAAAAAGGAAAAGAACGAACACACGACCGACCGAATTCGGTTTCGGGAAGGAATTCGGTCGGAAGCCAACTCCGGCGCGCCGTCTATTTCCGTCTCGTTCCTTTCTGTTTGTTTTTGTTTTCCCCTCTTCCTCGTGTGTGTGGAAGGCACGGGAGGTGTCCGCCGCGGGACGTTTGTGACGTCATCTTGATTTGTCGTATGACGTCATCGAAAGCTCTCACCGTGTCGTCACTGAGATCTAAGCTGTTCTGTCTTCTCCGATACTTCGACTCCGATACTTCTTTGCTTCGGCTACCTTTCGATGATTGGATAAAAATCGAGTGTATTTTTAATGACGCTTCGCGTTTTGGCAAATTTCGTTACATGAGAGAGATGGAAGATATAACGCGTGTAGAGAGAGAGAATGAGAGAGTGACGTATACACTCAATACATAGCGATAGAACCAAAAAGAGTAGGCTGCCTTTCGATAGTTGCTTAAAATTGAGTGAAATTTTAATGACGCGTCGCGATTTGGTAAATTTCGATACATGAGAGAGGTGGAATATATAACGCAGAGAGAGAGAGAGAGAGATAGGCGATAGCACCAAAAAGACACGTTGTGATAACTATTTGTCGACGTGTTTTATTCACTACTATCGTGTCTACCATACGCGTAATTTTTCGCTTTTCTTTTTTCTCTCTCTGTCTCAACACAAAAAGTGGAGCAGTGTATCTGACACTCGAACACGTAGCTCGTCAAGTGGCAAGTCTAGTCCGTTTGAATTCTACGTGGCATATATTCTGATTAACAAGACATTGAGGGGGTTGTTTTGTATAAAATAAACGGTCAAGCGCGATCCGGACTCGTGCGCGAACGGTTCCGTACCATTATCTATCATAATGGAAAAAATATCTGTTGTATGGAAGGGGCTCACTTAATATTTTTTATTCTGTTTTTCAGTATTTGTTGTTATAGCGGCAACACAAACACATCATCTGGGAAAATTTCAGCTGTCTAACTATCACGGTTGACAGACGGACAGACAGACAGACAGCGGAGTCTCAGTAATAGGGCTCCGTTTTACCCTCTGGGTATGTAGCTCCAGTTATCAATTAACAATTTTATGTCATCTAATAAGCTGGACCAACTGGTTCTAATTTAGAAGCAGGTCTTATGTCTATAATGTTATTTGCGGCTCTTGCGTTTTAATTAAGAGGTTTTCGTACGGACGGGGGTACTGTTGGTTGTAATAAGCTAAAGTATGAAGTAAAAAAAATATTTCAGGACATTTTTACAAAGTAATCAAGATAAGCAGACTAAACGAGCTTACTACTAAGTAGTAACTACTAAGCAAACTAAGCAGAGCTTGTACTATGGATACTAGATAAATGATAGCCTACATAATGGTACTGTCCTTTTGTAAATAGTACACAGTATGTATAATATATACTAGCTCTTCGCCCGCTTATTCGCTCGCGTTGAAGCCGTTAAATAAATATCTTTTTTATGTTCGTACGGAAGTTCCATGATAATCAGTTGAGTAGTTTGTTGTTTTTGGCGTGAAAGCATGACAGAAAAACTTACATTCAGGGAGAAAATTGAAGTTAGCATCCGTACTCGAGAAGAATCGGCAAATGAAACTCGACGGGACAATTTTTTTTTTACTACCATTTGACAAAGAAACGTACATACATGTGTGTGTAGAACTGTAGAGGATTGCTTTACGTGGGAGCGGTTAACGAATCTCGAAGGCCTTGTCGCTCTTTATCCGAACGTGTGTTTGTGTGCGAGTATGCGTGTGTTTAGACGATTAAGTCACTCGGGTCCGTCTGGTCCGATGGTCGGACGCTGTAATGTGGGTCAATTCGTCATATCCATCGGCATTGGGCCGTCCGCTCGGCCGCCGTGCCGTAACCCAAAGGCGAGCGTTATTTTATTTTCTTTTATCAAAAATTTCTTTATTCAAATAGACGCTTGCGCGTTATGAATCGTTAAACTTTACATAAAAATTATATACAGGTTCATAAGGTAGTAGATCACGTTACGAATCGTTGCACCACGCTGTAGGTTCCGCTTTTTGGGACGACCTTTTATTTGATTCTCTAGACGCGACTAAGAAGGGGTAAATTAATGCTTTGGATGAGGACAGTGCAACGGAAGCGGGTTACGTCGTTGACGCGTTTATATAGCACTAGCTTTTCACCCGCGGCCTCGCTCGCGTTGAAGCCCTTAAGTAACTATCTTTCTTTTTCAAAGTATACGTATATTTTAAAGTTTTTTCCAATTAAAAAAATAGCCTATGTCCTTTCTCAGGCGCTAAACTATGTGTACCAAAAATCGGTTCAGTAGTTTTGGCGTGAAAGCGAGACAGACAGACAGAGTTACTTTCGCATTTATAATATCAGTATGGACTAGCGACCCGGCCCGTCTTGGAAACCTCTAAAATGATCAGTGTATCTCTAGTAGTAAAGTAAAGTCTCAGCCTATACATGTCCCACTGCTGGGAAAAGGCCTCCTCTACACAGAGGGTATCAGGGCATAGTCCACCACGCGGCCCCACTGCGGATTGGCGGACTTCACATATCTTCGAGATATATATTTTTTGTTATTATTTCAAAAATATGCAGGTTTCCTCACGATGTTTTCCTTCACCGCGGAGCGCGTGATAAGTCAACACTTAAAGTTAAAAACTTCATTGGTGCCGGCACTGGGGATTGAACTCAGGTTGCTCGAGTATATTGAATTAAAGGCGAGCGCCCGGACACTGAGCTATCACGGCTCTTCATCTCTAGTATATCATGCTTGAATTATACATATAAACCTTCCACTTGAATCACTCTATCTATTAAAGAAAATCGCATCAAAATCCGTTGCGTAGGTTTAAAGATCTAAGCATACATGGGGACAGACAGACAGCGGGACGTCTTCGTTTTGTACTATGTAGTGATACAATTTTTGAATATTTACACGGTTTGTACGTATATATCTGAACTATATGACTTTTTATAATAAAAAAAATATTTTAAAGAACTTATGATGACTCCGTGGTGCTGTCGCCAAGGTATCGACTTCGGCGTCGGGGGTCGTGGGTTCGATTCCCACACGGGACAACTATTTGTGTTACCCACATATAGTTGTTCCGCATCTCGGTGTTTGTCCGCGTGAAATTTATGTTTGTAAAAACGTCCTTACAACACAGGATAATGTTATCCCAAACTAAGGGCAATGTTTAAAAAAAAAAAAGCAAGAAAGAAATAAAAATTTATTTATTTACCGCACGAAGGAGTTATTATGTAAAATTCGAACACGCGAGCGTCTATTCAGATAAAGACACTATGAATTTGAACTATACTAGCCTTCTAATCAATAGAGTTGGACCTTGGTTATTGAATTGGACAGAGTCTAACTGTAGTCTAATATAACTGAGGGCGATGCGTGCGCACTGGACGACGAATTATCGGCACAATGAGATTGCATCACGCCGCTTCCCGCTCTCGAATGCGAAACAGTACGGTGAATAGCCGGATGGACCACGATGGGATCCGGCGCTGCGGTAATACCGAACGCGGCCGCTGGTCATTACGGTCAGGGCTGCCGCCGTCTGTTCGGCTGACGAGTATACGGTCCATACTTGATGTTATAAATGCGAAAGTAACCCTGTCCGTCTATCTGTCTCGCTTTCACGCCAAAACTAATGAACCGATTTGAATGAAATTTGGTACACAGATAGTCTAGAGCCTGAGAAAGAACATTGGCTATCTTTTAATTCGAAAAAAGTGGGGAAGAAAAGTTGCATGAAATTGGAAATTAGAGAGAAAGTTGTATTGTCATTTTCAGAATAAGAAGCATAAAAATTATATTTTAGGCTGTTGATTAGATATAAATAAATATGGCATTCAAAGTTTGTAAAATTGTTAACACACGGACGAAGTCGCGGACACAGCTATATCCTTACTAACGGCGACAGTTTGTATGTATGGATGGATGTTTGTTACTCTTTCACGCAAATACTACTGAATGGATTTTAATGAAACTTTACAATAATATAGCTTATACATCAGAATAAGACATAGGCTATAGTTCATATTCATATTTTATGTAGGTCTGTCTTTCTGTCTTAATGTTACACCTTCAGCCTATTCTACGCAGACGTAGTCGCGGGCAGCAGCTAGTGCCTATATAGTGCAAGCCAATGCAGTGCAAGGGCCTCTGCACAGAGTGTATAAGGGCATAGTCTACCACACGACACCCCATAATCTCTTTGATTTCGTTTTCATTTCGAAAATAACAAAGTCCCACTCGCGATGTTTTCCATCACCGCTGAGCGCGTGATAAGTCGGCACTTAAATTTACACATTTTCATTGGTGCCTGCACCGGGGACCTAACTCTGGTATCTCGGGTATATTGAATTAAATGCAAGCGCACGGCCAGTGAGCTATCACGGCTCTCGGTTATTATGCTGTAGTGAAATTAATTGTCGATTTTCTCGTCGAGTTCGTGCGTCAGGGCACGACGTATGGCGTATGGCGAATCTTCTCTCTAACGCTGGGGAAATTAGAGAGAAGCGTGCCACCTTTGCGTGGTCGGCACATAACCCGAATCTCGTCGTTAACGGCGTTGGCCACGTTTCTTCACGACCCCTGTGGCGGGCGTCGAATTCGTACCCACGGCCCAAGGTGCAGAAGCCAGTAGCCACTGCGCCACCGATTAGTCTAGATGTTTAGACGTTATACGGTACGGAACCCGAGTACGGGTGTAAAGGGTTCGCAGTTGCCAAGGTATCGGCTTCGGCGTCGGGGGTCGTGGGTTCGATACCCACACGGGACAACTATTTGTGTGACCCACGGATAGTTTTTTCGTGTCTGGGTGTTTGTCCACATGAAATTTATGTTTGTAAAACGTCCTTACTAGAAAGTGAAATCCTTTATTTGACATCGCTTTAATACATCAAAACAAAAGATTAACGCCCGGTATCTGAAACACTGATCATCGTAGAAGTTAACTAATCAGGCGTCAAATGGCTTTTCAAATGTTTATTTAAGTTGCCAAAGGGTAGGTTAAACTCTCTGAATTGACCGCAGAATGAGCTTCTTAATGATTAGAATGCTCAATTCAAACAGTTTAACATTCCTTTTGGCAACTCAAATGACATTTGAAAAGCCATTTGACGGCTGATTAGTTAACTTCTACGATGATCAGTGTTTCAGATACCGGGCGTAAGTAAAGAGAAAACTGTTGTGACGTCAAATTAGATCTCCGTTTCAGTAAATTGGTGCATTTCTACGTTTGAGGTACGCATACTTTGTTGGAGATCACGACTTTTATATAGATTGTGCGGCAATGCGCTGGGATGTTTGGAATTATCGGCACTACCGGAAGTGGGTGGTAATAGAAATCGCGACAGGGAACGGGAAGCGGAAGCGGAAGCGGAAGCGGACGCGGTCGAAGCGGGATTCGAACCGGGCGCGCGGCTCGCGGTCTGCGGTCGGACTGCGCGCTGCGTCACGGGGGCTTTCGAACACGATATGTGTGGAAATTGTGAAGTGAGGAAATATAATTATTGACATAAAGAAAAACCGATTCAAACCGGAAACTAAAACACATTGTTAATTGCCTATAAAATTTGAGGATTGCCCTCGATTTCTCTGCGATGCCTTCATCGGATCCGGGTTTCCTTATCTTAACCCTTGGGATATCTCCTGTCAAACAAAAAAGAATCATCAAAATCGGTTCGTAAACGACGAAGTTATTCGCGAACAGACATAAAAAAATATATATACGGTCGAATTGAAAAACCTCCTTCCTTTTTTAAAATTCGGTTAAAAACCTCCTTTTTTTTTAATTCGGTTAAAAAGCGTTACGACCCGTTCCTTCGAGTCTCGGCGACAATCTTTCTCTCTCTTTCTCCCTCTGTCATATTGTCACACGAGCTGGTTCAACTACACATTTATTTGACGACCCGAATGGCGTAGTGGGTAGTGTAACTGCCTCCTGTGCCAGAGGGTGTGGGTTCGATCCCCACTACTGGAAAAATATTGTGTGATGAACATAGTGTTTTTTCTAGTGTCTGGGTGTTTATATATGTATAATATGTATTTATTTACAAAAGAAAAGTATGTTTAAGTATGTTTATCAGTTTTCTAGTACCCATAGTACAAGCTTTGCTTAGTTTGGGACTAGAGAATGTTGTGTAAAAATGTGTCCCTTAAGTATTTATTATTTATTTATACTTTATTGTACACCAAAAATAAAAATATATAAAAAGCAAATTACAAATGAATATAAAAGAAAGTACAATACGCGGTCTTATCGCTCAGAAAGCGATTTTTTCCAGACAACCATTGCGAAAAGAATATTTGCTAATGAGACATAAAGAAGAGAACAGAGGGAGGCACATACACATGTGGCATAGATGGCCATGGGCGGTGGTTATCACTTTATTTCGGGCGACCCGTCAGCCCGTTTGCCACCTTCTGACATAAAAAGAAGCCATGTTATGGGGTTTTCCTTCCAAAGAGTATATACACTCTTGTGTCTTATCTCGCCGACGCTTCAGCGTTTCTGTCATTGTGAGCTTTCTTGCTCGTGCTGTATTTTCTTTTTAAATTTTTCAACGCCCCTCCTCCCCCTTGGTGATACGTGGTGAGGTATATAAGAAAGAAAAGAAGAAATATTTATTTGGTACATAATAAACAACTATCCCCCCTCCCCCAGCCCAAAATCACGTGTATTTTTAGTACCTACAAGGAATCTTTAAAATTTTTAGAATATTATCTTTAAATACAGGTATAAAGCATAATCAAGTTTTTATTCTGGAATTAAGGAACATTATAAAAATGTTACGGCGAGTCAAGTTCACGCCGCTTTTCTTGTATAGACATCGCTCGTTTGACGAAGCAATAAATACACGTGATATCTTACTACACCCCATCCCCCCTCCCCTAATTGTGATATATCGAGAGTTTTGCCAAACGAGCCTGACGTGATTAATCGACAGCCCCTTGCTGCCCTCTCGGTTATGGAAAGCCGCCGTGATACGAAAGAATTTGGGTCGACGGTGGACGGCCTGGGTACGTGGAGTGCGGGGCCGCTAAGCCGCTCCAATTAGGCGGCCTCGTTGCGCGCGGGGCTTCCGCGGACCGCGCTTGGCCACCTCTGCCCACCCCCGCTGGCGTTGGGTCTTATATGATCGGAGCCGAATACTACGAACAACCATAATTAATTCTACCCTCGACTAGATTGCGTAGAATGAGTAAATCTTTTATGGGACAATGTTTACGCTTTTACAACAAAATCCCAGAAAACGTTCAAAATGAATCCGTTGCTAAATTCAAAAAACTTGTAAAGGAATGTTTGTGTGCTAATGACTATTATAGTATTAGTGATTATTTGAATGATAACACACTCTGGAAATGAATTGATCGCTCCAGGCTCTCAAGTGGAATTTAATAAATTGTACGGATATTTGTAATTTTTTTGTCAAGTTAAAAAAAATGTTCTTCTCAGGTCAGTGGCTTTCCTTCCGAACCGGTGGTAGAGTTTTTTGACTATCAATAAGTAAGTGTATGCTTCTATAATGAATAAAGATATTTGACTTTGACTTTGGAGCGTATAATATGCGAGAGGCACCAGGAACTGCGTGGAAGCAGTTGCTAAGGTATTGCCTCTGGCGACGGAATCGTGGGTTCGATTTCAATAATTTGCGTGGCCCACAGGTAGTCTACCCCGATTTGGGTGTGTAACAGTCGTGATATGGATAGTAACGGTGGTAGGGCTACGCAGCAGCCTCGGCTGTTGCACGAATGGGCAGGCCCGTTCGGGTAAGTACCACGACCTCAGAAGACCAGCATAAAGTGGAAGTATCACAAATACTTTCGCGTTTCGTCTGGTGAATGAGGTAGCCGGAGCCCAATTTTTAAAAGGTTGTCAACGCATCCGTAACCCGCCGGTGTGGCAGATGTCCATGGGCGGCGGTATTCACTTAACATCAGGTGAGCCGTCTGCTCGTTTGACAACTTTTCGCATAAAAAAAAATTATTCATCATAGAAAATTATAAAAGACAGTAAGCAATATACAAACGTGTAAAAAACGCGTCGTAACAGCAGATCTAACAGCTCTGCATACTATTTTGTTTTTTAGTATTTGTTTGTTATAGCGCTGTGAAAATTTCAACCGTCTAACTATCACGGTGCATGAGAAACAGCCTGCTGACAGACGGACAGACAGAACATAACCGACTGCAAATACCTCGATCTGTATTCATTTTATAATTGATTTTCAGGATTATCCTAACTATCTCCGGATCCCACGATCCAATACTTATTAAATTAATATGAGACCACATGGTAAGCACCAGCTTTCAGTTAAAAGAGAATCATTAAAATCTGTTCACTCAAACTTTAGTTCTTAGGTAACAAACATGAAAAGTAAAAATACAGTCGAATTGAGTACCTACTCCTTTTTTTTTTTTTTTTGAAAAAAAAAAATTGCCCTTACTTTAGATTAACATTATCCTGTGTTGTAAAGGACGTTTTACAAACATAAATTTCACGCGGACAAACACCCAGATGCGAAACAACTATCTGTGGGTCACACAAATAGTTGTCCCGTGTGGGAATCGAACCCACGACCCCGACGCCAGAGCCAATACCTGGGCAACTGCGCCACGGAGTCATCGACGTCTTTTTTAAAGTCTGTTGAAAATTCGCTGTTTAAACAAAATATATTGACGCTCCTGTATCCTAAAATATGTACAATTATAAATGTATACATACATCTTAGGGGAAATTAATTAATTAATTAATTTTGATACTTGTGAAATGCATAGTTTAAAACACATACAACTAATCTATCAAAGGATTATCGATAGGGTTACTGATACAGGCGATAAATATAATAACATTTTGATACCAAAGGCGTACGAAATTACATGATTTGCATATGGTTATTTCTTTGATTACATTTCTTTATGTTCGAAGATTCCGAGTCGTATGTATTATGTAACAAACGAAACTAACTGTACAGAGGGTATTAGGGCCATACTCCATCACGCAACCCCACCGCTGATTGGCAGATTTCACGTATCTTTGAAATAATCATAAATTTCAAAGTACAAAATCATTGGCAAAATCACTGACGTATCAGTGGAGCCATAGTAGGAAAAAAATATATCTATGAAATGTTTTTTTTTTGTTATTGTTTCGATAATATGGAGGTCTCTCCTCACTGTGTTTTCCTTCACCGCTGAGTGCGTGATAAGTCAGCACTTAAAATTAATGTTTATACGAGTATATTATGTTTTTTTTTAAAGTAAATAATACATTAGTACATTTTTAATTAAGCTTCTAATTAAGTTTTGCCATATTTTTTTCAATTTACCTTTTTAAAATCGACGTTTTTGAACATGTGTTACTTTCATTATTATATGTATTTACATAGTGGAAAACTCTAATTGTCTTTCAATAACATGTGACAATCTGGAAAAACTATTATATGATATTCTCTTGATCAGATCTTGTTGTTTTTCCGGGTAAATAAATAAATTGAATGAGGTCATCACCAGCAAAATGCTCGATTCGCGACCGTGTTTACTTCATCATCATCGTGATCACATCAGCTGCTGAACATAGGCCTCCCCCATTGACTTCCACTTCGACCGGTCGTCAGCGGCCTGCGTCCAACGCGTCCCTGCGATATTGGCTAGGTGACGACCCCCACGCTGCGCTTGCCTTCAGGTTGGTCCCCACTGGAGAACCTTTTTGCACCAACGTGTTTAGTTATCACTCGTTTATTGCTATCGCGACTCGTACACCACACTGGTGATTATACTGTCTCAGCGAAAGGCGTGATTGGAGCACGGATGCCAACTTAGGAATTTTCTTCCTAAAGTTTTTAAGGAGGTAACGGGTGTTCATTTAGGAAGTTTTGATTTGAATTTAGTAAGTTTTTATGGGTTTTTGAATTGCTTCAACTGTTACTTACTCAAACGGTTAACGGGATCCTATACTTGAGCTTCGCTGTCTGTCTGTCTGTCGACAGGCATCTCATCAACCGTGATAGTTGGGCAATAGAAATTTTCAAAGATGATGTATTTCGGTTGCCGCTCTAACAACAAAAACTGAAGAACAGATGAATTGAAAGCGGAAGCTCCCATACAACAGACATGATAGTTTTTGACGTTTTTATAGATAATGGTACGGAACCCTTCATGCGCGAATCCGACTCGCTCTTGGCCAGTTTTTTTTAACAGTCGACAACACTGACTTTGAGCGTGACGCACGAACGAGCGGACGAGGCGTCGGACACGGAGTAATCATCCGCAGAGCGCATTTTACGAGCTATTGTGCGCTGCAGGCGGCAGACACACACATCGACGTCGCGCATAGGTGGACTTTCTAAATGGCATACTGTTAGTGTGATTGACTTGTCACTCCAATATTACATTAGGCAATATGTCCTTTTCAACCGCTATGATAAGGTGCATACTGGCCATCGCGGTGTGTTATAACCGATGCCACTAGATGGAGTGACGACCTGTGCAAGTGTGCGGGAAGTCGATGGATGCAGGTGGCTCAGGATCGGGCTTCGTGACAGTCTGTGGTAGAGTATGTTCAGCAGTGGACTCAAACTGGCTGAAATGATGATGATGATGGTGAGAAGGTGGCAAACGAGCTGACGGTGAGTGGTAACCGCCGCACATGGACATTTGCAACAGCCGTGGGGTTGCAGAAGCGTTGCCACCTTTTAAGTGGGCCCCGGCTACCTCGCTCTTAGGACGAAACGCAGAACTGTAACACTTCACATCGCGCCGGTCTTCTGCGTGGTTGTGCTACTCACCCGGACGGACCTGCCCCATTCGAGCAACAGCCGAGGCTGTTGCGTGGCCCCACCACAGTTAAACTAAAATACCTGCGTGAGGTTAACATTAACACTTGCGCGTTTCGCCTGGCGAGTGAGATAGTCCATACTCTCACTGAACATGGCCTTCGGCCCACAGTTACCATCACGTGGGCCGCGTAGTTGCCATCGAACAGTGAGGTATTTACTGGCCGTTATTCAACATAACAATAAATATTTCTTTCTGTCTTTCAACAGCCATCAGCCAGCGTGTTCACAGTTATTTTACGGTGAAACAGTATAATTTCTGTAGATAACTCGGCGCCCAAATACGGGACCCCTTTAGGGCCTTTTCCCAGCACATGGAACATGTACTTATAAGCTGTGACTTTACTTCACTTCAAACGGAATAGAACGAGTGACCAGTGTACCCGAACCCGATAAATAGACGACTGTGCCGAACGCGCGGCGGATTGCGTTAAATGTTTTTTTTTGGTTTATATGCGTATGCTTCCGTCTCCCTCGCGCACCTCGCGCGGGTAAGGGACGAGGCGTAGCGCTGCTGAACGCGGTGAGATGTACTCGCTAATTAGTTTAATTAATGCCCCCGCGGAATGCCGCTCCCAGAGTCAAAGGGGCCATTGTCTGTTTGGGTTGTCGAATTAATGTGAACGTATGTTATAAAGGCTGCCTTTGTGCGTTTGTGGTCGGACAGTAAACTTTGGAGTTGATAAACTGCCCACATAGCCTCGTTTTGATGTTCGCTCTATCAGTCTGTAGACCGTATAAAGCTCAATCAGGCACGGAGCTCGTGCAATGGTCCGCATCTCCACGACCTTGATAGCTGAACTGAGGAAACGTCCACGTTTCAAAGTAAGCTTGACGGGTTTTCAATTATCACATGAATTAAAATTAATAAATAATTAAATATTTAAAGGACACATTTTTACACAACATTCTCTAAATAAGCATCGCTTGTACTATGGGCACTAGATAACTGATAAACATAATTGAACGTAGTTTTCTTTTGTAAATAAGTACATATCATAACTATGTAAACAACTAGACAATGGTGTGGTAAAGACACTGTTTTACTCTATGTTTGACACACAATTCCAGTATTGGGAATCGAGCCCACACCTTCTGTCAGAAGACGCAAGTTCACTATGCACTAAGCCAATCGGGTCTTCAAATAAATCCTAACCATTACAATGGGATGTACCCGAAACAGACACAGCGAAAGTTGTACGATGCAAAATTATAATAAACCATCACCGCTCGGTCCAATTGGCGTGTGAGAAATTGTAGTTTGTTCACAAAATGTGAGCACGTACGCGTTATATCTCGTTCACGCTCCCAACCCGTTAATCGTAGGGGC